TGTGGTGTTAAATGTATTGAACTATCATCTGAACTTAACAAATGGTGATAGCATGACTATTACTGTGGAACAATTTCTACAATGTGCGGTGTGAGTGTTCGCAAAAAAGAGGCCCAGCAAGGCGACCTGAAACCGGTACAAAAAAAGGAACAAAAACAGTTTCCAGTCCAATTCACGCGAAAAATATTTACAATGAGGAAAATTGTCCATGTTTTTTTTGGAAAACATACCAACAACCTTTGACAGCATAACGAACAAAGTGAAGGATGATGAGGGGACCAGCTTTTTCAAATTCGCAGACTACTAAATGACATGGGTTCTGAATATGGAAAAAGAGCTCGAGATTCGATAATGATGGAAAGAAAAGATATCATATCCTGGAGGCACAAGTACCCCAGACAAATAAAAACAATGAGGAAGGATACTGTAAACTTTGTTTATACCGATGTGTTTGGGAAAGTATGTACTACATATTTCTTTTCATATTTTTTCATTTAATATTTTTCTGTTACTGTACTGTAATGTGATCTAATTCAATGCTGTATTCTAACGACTTTGTTAAAATATATTGTTTCCTGTTATTTCATAAAATTGTTAAACTAGCTATCTAATTTATTACGTTTTAAGTACGAAGAATTTGGCTTCTTTTGTTATTTTGGGTCGCCAATACACACAAGTGTAAAGTTTCGTATTACCGTGACAATTAGCTTCAATTATCGCATTCAAAATCACAATACAATAGAGTGATTTATTGATATACCCTCTTCCAACCAACCGCTTCGAAGTGTGGCCAGAGGGTTTTTTTCTTAAATGAAATCAAGACAGGGTAATCGTCCTATCGAGCCTCGGCGCCGGACGTCCCCTACATCGCGACGGTCCAAAGCTGCACATGGGCTCCGAATACATCAGAATATACTGAAGGGATATCAATATTCTTTGTACAGATAACAATAATGAGTAAGACCAGTTAATTTTGTAATTTATTCACAATTGGTAGTTGCTATTTTCCGCTAATTTATTTACAAACAAAATATTGTATTTTTTCTTCATTATTATTTATCTAATATCATTTAACCAGCGACCTCTTAAGTTTTATACAAAATACGATGAGTATTGGATTAACGTCGATGTTTCAGTCAAAAAGGAATGGAGGGACACAACGATCAAGAATCCACGAGATGCCTTCATAAATGGCTCCCTACTGGACTGAAAGCTTCAACCCAAAGAGGTCCTCGGCTTGTTCTTCTTCATGCTGGAAGCAAAACTGGTTTTGTGGCATGGGCCGATTTAACTTTCTTGGCCAAGAAGGGAACCGCTGATTACCACGACGAAATGGACGGGGATCTATATGAAGAATGGTTTGAAAGACGTTAATTCCAAAATTGCCGAATGATAAAGAAAACGTTGTCGTTTTGGATAACGAGTCATACCACTCCCGTAAAAATTGTGGAATAAAAGGCAAATCAAGGATTGGCTAATCGAAATGAAATTTTCTTCGAGGCAGATTACCTAAAAAGTGAATTGCTGAGACTTACTCTACATTTAGAGACATAAAAAACACTTAAGTCGGACAGTTAAAAAAGGACTAAATAAATCCCAGAAATTTAAAGTGAGCTATCAGGATACTGCTTCAAATTCTTTTGTTACTTTTGATTTATAACTTATTCATACTCAGTAGACTTGTTAATTGAAGTAAATCCGCAAGAGCTTGCAACTGAAATAGCCAAACGCACGCAAAAAGGTTATTACAGAACTTTCGGTCGTATTTGGAATACTTTGACAGATTCATTGTCGGAGATATACTTCTACCTCTCACTATAAATAGTTCAAATTACAGTCATAGCCTTTTTCATTAAAAAAAAGAATAATAATGGGAGTATATATTAATTAATTGTGACACAAAATGATTAGTAAATTTACTGGACAGTTGATACTAAACTGAGTTTACAACTTTTTACACACTACGCAAAAATACTCTTTGAGCTTCAGAAAACTGAATCACCGGTGTAGTTTGTAAATGCACAAAGTCAGAACATACATATTCTGCAGAAGAAATTCTCTCTCAGAAGTCTACATTTGTACACAAAAACCTTTCGTCGCAATAAGATCTACAAGGCTAAACCATTACTCTGAAATATACAAATTGTAATAAGGGGACAAATGTGTTTATTAATCGTGAAGTATTAGCAACATTCACTTATAATTAAATAGTCTATCATCGTTTTGTAACGATAAATTGTTTTCCGGGCTTACATGCTCCAGTTACCGATCAGTCACTGTCCAGATTGCTTTTGACAACGTCTCTCGAAGTTGAAAAGAATGTATCATTGTTATACTATACTTAGTTATTTATTTTATATAGTGAAAGTCTAAATGCCATTTGGAATTTTATTCATTTCACTGGAAAACGACCAACTTGTCTCAAGCAGGTGAGACACTTGCAACATGTCTCAACACTATGACGAGGTACTTAAAGATCGCGTTATGAATTTATTGTATTGTTGGCTACAAAACTCGACCTATATTACATAAATATATTACGAAAATAAATTTTTGCATGTTTCATTTTTCAGATTGCCTTAGCAAAGTTAAATCTAGACAATGGATTCTTGTATTAAAGTGGGACCCGAAGAACTGAACATAAAAGATTTAAAATGGTATTGAATCGCACTGTGAACTATTTAGCAGACGATGGTTCAGGCTCTGGCTAGAAAACAAAAAGATTAACGTAGTAGTTTAAAATTCTTAATTAATCTGTTACTTAGACCGGAATATGCTGGTGTATCAGGTGGACCTATGGATGAGGCCATGATGTAGGCCCCATAGTCTCTACCAAAAGAGAGGGAAACAAACAGGGATACAGATAGACTGAACCCTATCCGTTCACATGGAACAGATATTTTTATATCGGCGTCACCGCTACATAACTTCGTGTGGAAAGGTGGGAGACAAGGTCTCACCGAACTTATCAGTTGAGCTAGAACGAGTTTTATTCCGCCGAATTTTGTCCTGTAAGTTTGAGATCACAAAATACAGTTTTAATGAAAAATGGTATTACCTGTTGAGGAAAGAAATTAATACGAAGTAACAACGAAGTGGTGTGACCTGGTAGCGGAGATCAAAGTAGCCAGGATAAGATGGACAGGCCATACAGAGGTAATGCCACAAGTGTGATCAGTTAGGAACCACATGAGACAGAAGACTTCATCTTCGGTGGCCCAACGGTGTTGAATTCACACTGATTATATTTGAAAACACGAGATAATCATTTTACGATTGTTTAGAAATTTCTAACGGTGATTTTCTTTAGAATGTCTTTTGTTTCAGGTCAAATGATGATTAAAACATAATGATTGCAGTTGTAGAAAGTAATTTTTGCTAAATTAAAGTGATGGAATATTTTTTGGTCTCCGTGACCTACTGGCGATATCGGTTTTGTGCTTATTTCTTCGACTTGGTATCACGTATTTTGCCGTTATACGCCTACTCTCAGTATCATTAATAAATTATAAACTGTAAACACATAATAATATCCACTATTTATATGGCACTTGGAAAAGAAGGCACTAAAATTTTATAATCTTATTCATGTATAGAATAATTTTTTAAATATTTCTAATTTGCATACCATCACGACATCATTATTTGCTCTGTTTGAATAAAATATCGATGTAAATTAATAAAAAGGATAAAATTACAAAAAGAAATGTATTCATCATACAAAATCTGGCAGATTTAACAGTTGTAAGAGGGAAAATTATGGTTAATATTATTATTAGAAAGTAAGACATGAGGGCGTAAGAGATCTTACCGCTTACCGTTTCGCCTAGGAATCAGTCTTACTCGTAAGGCCTCCCAATGTTATAAAGTATATACTCTTATACAGTGAATCAATCAAATATTTTGCGTATTGACTCCAATATTACAAATGATATAAAATAATTTTATAATTTGAATACTTGAATGAATACTTTTTTAGGTTTCCATACTTATACTCATAATGAATATGAAAATGTTACAAATACTGAAACCATACTAAATTTTTTTCTCCAATTTGTCATTTAGATATGCCCAAAAATTAATTCAAAATAAAAGTTAAAGCACCCACTCATATGATTGTTCAATGATTTGTGTCAACAATATAACATAAGAGAAATATAAAATTAATTTTATGGTATATCCCTTACGACACGTTAAACAAAGTGTACCAGAAAGATTGGTCATATATTTTAAAAACAAGAATAAATAAATTTGTTTAAGGTTTTTTTAAATTTTCTATGAAAGTTGGATCAAGCATTAGCAACTAAAATATATTCATAACCAACAAAAAGCACGCGAAATGCAAAGGCACCGTGTGATCAACTTTCCGACCGCATATTCATTGGTCGAAAGTTATAGCCCAAGAGACTGTGAACCCCAGACCATCGTTATTTTTTAAAAGATGAAAATTTATCAGCACTATTCCCAATACAGGTCCGAAAGATAAGATCATCATGAAGTTTGGGTTATCGTGGCCATGGCGGCTAGATGGCGCTAAAGGTATATAAAATACCAGCCTACATTCATAAAATAATAAAGCGCAATTTTTTGACATTTCCTTCAGAATACCATTCATTGCCAGACACTTTCTATCCCGTTGATAGACTCCCTTAATGCGCATTTAATTGTAAATTGTACTTACGTTATAGTATAAAAGCTGATTTGTATACAGGATGTAATAAAAGAAGCGTGACAGTTGAATATTTCTGTGTTGCTTGGCAACGTTGCGTTGGGCTATCAACGGCGACAGATGACAGGTAACCAAAAAAGGGAAGCAAGCTCTTTTCTCATCTCTGTATTAGATATTCCTTAATAAAGTAATCCAAGTACAATTTAGTATTTGTATCACGGGCTCAAACTAAACATTTTGGCGACGAGATAAAAAAAAATAAAGTGAAGTTCCTATTTACGATAGGGTTTATACAGAGAGGTGGTTTATATTAGTTATTGTAGCCAGCAACATGGCATTGATAGGTAATATTGAAGCTTTTACCGGTGTTCCAGAAGAATTTGAATCCTACATAGAAAGATTAGCACAGTTATTCATTGTTAATACGGTTTCAATGGTAAGAAAATATGAAGGTTTCAATGTTAATCACACTAGAAAGTATGAGTCTTTTTCAGGTTTTGAAAAACTTAGTGGTCCCACCAACGGACTTTACGTTCCAAGAAGTGAAAGAGAAATTGATTAAACATTTTTCTCCACTCGTGTCCGAAATCTACGAACGTTTTGTTTTCAATCGGTGTGAACAAAAAGCTGATCAATATATCTTTGATTACAGTGTAGAGCTAAGGAAGTTGGCATATTCTTGTAATTTTGGACAGTTTCTAGAAGAGGCTCTAAGCGATAGGTTTGTTTGCGGGATTAGAGTCGAAGGAATACAAAAGAAGTTGTTGGGTGAGGTAGATTTAACATATCAGAGTGCTTGTCAGTTAGCTTTGGCCTCAGAGGTAGCACAGAAACAAGTTAAGTTGTTATCCGAGGGAGGTAATATAAATGTTTTAAACAGAGGCAAGCATAGAAATCCAAAGTTTAGATCAACTCAGTACAGATCAAATTTGTAAAAATTGTGGCAGAAGTTATCATAGAGGTAAATGTCCAGCTAAAAAATGAAGATGTTTTAATTGTGCAAAAGTTGGGTCATGTCAAGAATTTGTATCCAGATATTCAACCACAACCTATGAAAGTAGTACAAGAGGAAGAGTATAACATTGAGAGGGATGAGGTAAAAAATGACATATTTACTCTTCATACAGTGAGTGATATGTCAAATTCTGCATATCATGTAACCTTAAAAATAAACAATAATAATTTAACCTTTGAGGTAGATACTGGTGCACGTAGAGCAGTAAATGTCTGTATCCAAATTTAAAGATGTACTACATCTAACTTTAGCACCTGTAAATTACAAACTTACTGCTGTTTCAGGTCAACCTATTAAAGCTGTAGGTGAATGTACATTATGGGAGTAAAACATGTGAGTTGCCATTGGCAGTTATAGAGTCAGGTAAGGAATTCACGCCACTGCTTGAAAAGAATTGGTTCAATATCAGGTTTCCTGATTGGAAAGCTGTATTTTGTATAGATGGGCAAATCAGTCATATAAATGAACAAGATTACTTAATGGAGTAATAATAATAATTAACACCCTCAACAACTTTGAAATCTTAAGTGCGAACCGCTATTTTTTATTGCAGATTTTGATTCCTCATAAAAAGTAAGCAACTTTTTTATAAGAAACATTTATTTTAAATTGTTGATCGATTAGATTATAATCGAAAAAATGCTATTTATCCTGATACCCTAGGAAAATTATGGAAACTGTTTAATATCTCGAGAAATAGACTTCCAAATGAACAAAAAACACGTGTTTAATATTTTAAAATACTAAATAATAAAAATACCTTTTTTTTATTGCATATTTTGGTTCTACAAAACATTCATAAAAAACTGTATTCAGTAGGTACCATGAAAATAAGCTTGAAGATTTATAATCTCAATGTTTTTTCTGTGATTACAGCGCAATCTACCACGAATCCAAAAAATTCAGATCAAACTTGTTTACTTTTTCACGTAGAAACCTGCAATGAAAAATGTGGTTTTCCATTTAAGATTTCAAAGTTGTCCCCTGCCCCACCCCCAGGAATGGGTATGTGGGGTCGTGTTTGGTGCCATTCTTATGACGTAATTTTTAACAATATTCTGAAGGAAATATCAAAAAATCACGCTTTATTATTTGATAAATAGAGGCTGGTATTTTACACGCCTTTAGCGCCGTTTAGCCGCCAAGGGCACGATAACCGCAACTTCATAATGACACCATCTTTCCTATCTGTGTTGAGAGCATGCGCTGACAAATTCTCAACTTTTATAAAATAACTAAGGTCTGGGGTTCACGGACTCTTGCTCTATTAGTAAAACAACCCTAGAGAGAGTCCTACCTTGAGACAGCTTGTGTTCGCTTGAGTTTCTGTTTACGTACATGGTTTAGGTTAGACTCATTTAGATTAGATTAGAATCGTCAATACAAGAACAATGTTTAATGAACTTGTATGGACCTTCTGCAAAACTTCCAAAATATTGGACCAGCATAATGAACGACTTACATGTACGAATTTTTAAGAAATTCTAAAATTGCTTTGTCTAGTTGAATAAAAACTTTTTAAGTTTGTTTTCATCGAAGATAAAAAAAAGGAAAAGTTAAAAGTAATTAAAGCATACTATAGCATAAAATTCATCAGTGCACTTATAACATTTGAAATTGTTTTACAAAGATGGATTAAATAAAAAAATGGTTCAGCTTTTGCACAAAACCTTTGTGCACCTGATAAAAACTTTTTAAAAATGCATTTTAAATGGCTAGTAATTATTTTATATAAACGTTGAAGTGATGAATGAAGAAACCATTTGTGAATGCAGTGTATTACTGGTACTGGTAGAATTATTAGTATGAAATTTTCAACTACTAACGTATTTTACCAAAATTTTACTTTTTGTTTAAAATTCATATTTTAGATCGCTCTGTTAGTTTGGTCTCAAAGATAAATCTGAATTTTTTATGTTATATTGATGCGAATTAATGATTTACGTTATAAATATAATAATATAAATAAAAATAAAAATTAAAAGAATGCTAAATAATTAAAAAATAGTCTTCGCTATATTAATTATGATGTCGATATATTAAAAGTAGAAATGATGAAGCGGTGAGTGGCGGTTGCAGGTGTATAATATTTATGATTGTGTAAATTATTATAGGATATAGTTTATGATTATTTCATAATAATTTAAAAACATTATAGACCAGGCGATATTAATTATGGGTTGGGTAAATTGTATATGATCCTATTTTATGTTTTAATCGCTTCGAAATGTTATTAGAAATGATAAATTTCACTATGCGGAAATTTCAAAAGGTATGCTATTTTTTTTTATTAAACAATTTATAAAAATATTTTTTTCGTTGCTATATCTCGGCAGCCATGCATTTAGGAAAAATTTGGAAAGACAAATTTTTGCAATTCAATTTTCCATAAGATAGAATTGATTGCAAATTGAAAAAATAATAATTATTATTGTAAATTAGCAAGAACCATTAAAAAGGGTCAAATCAATGTTTTTTCAATAATCTTTTTCAGATATTTAAAAGCCACATAGATAAAAAAACACTACACAAAGATTTGTTTTTTTTTTACATATTTCAAATAAAATTAGAATCATTGAAATCCGTTATATAGGAGATTATAGGAAGTTATTATTTATATAAATAAAGTAAATTAGTTATTTTCATATTTTTTGTATTTAACACAAAAAAATATATGAATATTTATTTTTTTGCATTTAAATAGTATAAAAAATGACTTAATAAAGTAATCGATACGGAATTTATTAAATTATTAAATAAAGAAAAAATCCTAGATCAATTACTTGATTTAGTCATATTTTTTAAACTATTTAAATGCAAAAAATATATATTCATATAATTTTATTTGTGCTAAATACAAAATATACCAAAAATAACTTAAATAATTTTATAAGACACCTGTAAAATCTATTAAAATTTATTTAAGTATTTTATTAATAGGTTGAATTGTAATTAAAGTTATTCTATTTGTTTATTAATTTAAGAAATGGACAGTTGTTTAAAATTCCCTAGGCCTTCCTATTTAACGAATTTCAATGATTCGAGTTACGTTTGAAAGCTTGAATGCTTTTTTATATGTAAACAAATTTTCAAGTATTAAAAACTTTTTGTTGGCTTTGCATAAATTTGAGAATTAATAACTTTTTTTTAGAAAGTTAGATTGCAAAATTATTTGCAATCTAACTTGATCAATTCTGCCGAAACGTTTTGTAGTGTTTTATATTAAAAAGATTGTCTGGGAAAATTTTGAAGGTTCTATGTGGCTTTTAAATGCCCGAAAAGGATTATTGAAAAAACAGTGATTTTCGATAATTTTGCAATGATTATTATTTTTTCGATTTGCAATCAATTATATCGTGTAAGAAATTTAATTGCAAAACTTGTCTTCATAAAATTTTTCTAAAATACATAGCTGACCAGATACCATATTTTTTTCACAAATTGTTTATAGTACATTTGAAAATTATTGATAGCCGAAATTTTATTTATATAACGTTATATAAAAAGAGAAATACGGCAAGCAAAAGATTTAGTAGATCACTGCCCCGAGTATGACAATAAAAAAGAAACTACTCAATGAATCAGAACTGTCATGCAAGAACACATGTTTTTTGTGAAAAATGTGATGTTCATCTATGTTTCGTAAAAGGAAGCAACTGTTTCAAAAACTTTTCACGCAATGTAATGTATTACAATTAAGTTAAACTCACAAAATATATCTGTTTGTTAATTTGCAACTTTTTTTTAAATTGTTCCTAATGTACATTGTTCAAATGTCATATAGACATCTATAAGAAAGTGAAGTGACCAACACTGTATTTAGACCTTTGCTATAAATTTGTGTTATATCACTTTCAAATGTACTACAACAAAAAAATTTGACCCATTTTTTAAAGTGCCGACATTATAAAATTATCATTTTCAATAATATTCTGAAGCGATTAAAGCAAAAAACAGGATCATATATGATTTACCTAAATGGTGTTTTGGAACAGATACTGCCTGTGCTATTATGATTGTACACTCCAGCGCGTAAGCATTGAAGTCTGACTATAGCTCGATTTAGTCAAGCAGCCAGCCCTCTATACAACTAACAAAAATGGATTCTTATTTATTATGGTAACTTTTCGGGGTTATATGAAAATATTTTTTTTACCACGAATATATAACTAATCTTTTCGTTACATTATGTATAAACTTTAACTATTTTTGAACTGCAAAAACTTGTGCAACATAATAATTATATTTGGTGGTGACAAACCATGTGTAACACCTTAGGTAGATCTGATTGTTCTATACTTTTACCCTGAACATAACTGAATACAAGGCACATTTTTAAAGTAAGTACCGCTTCAGCCACGCGCGCTGTGTACCTATACCTGTCTGAAAAAATCCAAAGGTCATCACGTAAGTATTCTGACATATTCACATCAATCTGTGACCACTTTCAAGTGTCTTAAACGATTAAAAATGCCATTGACTATGAAAATAGTCGCTGTGATTAGTTTTCTTAGAACTAAAGGCGTGAAAGTGTCTGATATTCAAAGGGAGATCAGGAAAGTTTATGGAGAAATGCAATGATTAGTTTTGCTAGTACCCATTTAAATAACAAGAGTGGTATAGCTTGTAAAAGGAGTATTATGAAAAATATCGTTTTATTGTCGTTTAGTGTTTATTTTAATAAAAATGCTCATTATATGCATCTTGATAAATACACAATAACCCAACATAAGATTTGATATTGATATTAGTCTTCAGTCAATATTTGTCTGGTTTATCACATTCAAATTTAATTGTCTACAATTATCTTTGATTTTGAAGATGTAAACTGTTTCAATTTGATTGTTATAAAAGATTTTTATTAAAAGCGGCGAGTCTTTTATTTATATTACTTTTAGAAACACTATACTTAAACGGGTTAGAGCTGTTAAAAATGGTCATAGAATGCTCATGATATGGAAAGAAGCAAAGACCTTCAGTGGTGATTTACGATTTGGTGAAAAACAAGTCTTTGATGATGAGATCAAAAGGAACGTTATTCAAGTTATGTGGTACTATTATGTATTAATTTTGATGGAAACTATGTAGAAAACTAGATGATGGTAATACAGGCTTTCAGGTAAACATAATTTTAAGAGAACTATGGTAAATTCGCCTGGCTTAAGACCCTAAGCCATAAATTTCCGATGTGAAGAGCAGATATAAATGTTTCTTAAGTATATGTGAGTCCAGGGGAAACAAGGATAGTTGCACCTTGAGCATATCTAAAATTAAAAAAAAATATAGGCGAATTTACTAAGAATCCCGTACTTATTTGTCTCTTGAAATCAACACCATTTGATTTTATGACTAGAGTCCTAAGTCCGGCGAATCATCTGTATACTTATCTATATATCAAAGCGGTTCTTACTCTAAAAATAAGCCAGTAGTAATAATAATGAATAATAATAATAGTAATAATAATAAAGACTAGCATTTCAATCGATAATAACATAGGGCAAAATTTTAAAAATTTCACCTTGGTACGAGGTAGTGTCAGTGACCTCGTGCCATTCTCTAAAACATTTATTATCACTAGTATACACATCACCTCCTGTCCGTTCCTCAGGCTCTTGCTTCACTTCCGGCGTCTCTGAGAAACTATACCTACTAAAATTTTCACCTGCAAAGTTTTTCACATTTTTAGGTATACTTTCTATATTTACATTAGGCACTACATTCACATACAATCCATTCTCTTGCATGACGGGCTCAGGCGCTGGGGGCCCCATGCTGGAGTTACCATTTACATTTGGTATCAGGGTATTGTGTAATCTTTCGACCATCTCGTCGGTCACGTGGTCCAAGTGGTAGGTTTCCCTTAATTTATACTTGGCTTGGCAGTTGTGATCTTCCACGAACTCGAACTTGTGTTCCAAGTCGATTTCTGCTTCTTCCTCCACCGAGAAATCTGATTTGTTCTCTTTGAGAATGCAGGTACACTGTACTTCGTCATCTTCTAAGAGAACTGACTTGTCAATTGGGGGAAGCTGGGCCAAGGCGTCTTCCACACTTAGGGCGGAAACGAAATTTAAGTTTTCAGTCTCTTGACTCTCTTCTTTAACTTTTGTTTGGGATTCTTCTTTTGCTAAAAAATAAATTTATAATATTGAAAAACATTAACTAATTTTCTATGATTTCTACTTCAAATATGTTTAAATGTGAATTTGATCAAATAGTTTGTTTTATTGCAGAGTTATTTTAAGAGCGTAGGCGCAAAATTTCGGGTCAAATGCTTTTTAAATGCATTCATTTTTTTCGAATCCTGAGAAAACTAATACATATTTATGAAAAATTTAAACGCAGAATGAAAGAATACATTATTACCAAGGGCCGAAAGTCCCGGAAAACTTCTATATTGTTTATTTTAATAAGTTACACGGGTGAAAAAAAAAGAGAAAATTTAGGGTGATTTTTAATTTCAAATATCTCATTCAAAAAAACTTTTTGTTTATTCTGAGGTACTTTCGGTCCTCGGTAATAATGCAATCTTTCATTCTGCGTTAAAATTTTTCAAAAATATTTGTTAGTTTTCTCAGGATTCGAAAAAAAAATGAATGCATTTAAAAAGCATTGGCCCGAAATTTTGCGCCTACGCTCTTAATGGAATAAATTACGCTGAACTCTGCCTGGGGCTTATTAGCGCGAGGACTAGGTGGATTGAGTGTCTCAGAAGCCGCGTTCGTGTCCACAGCCGGTCCCAAGACCGGGCAAAAGAGGAGGGTTGATGGGTCAGGTTAGCATCATATTCATTGTAAAAGAAAACAAGGCTCAAAGAACCGATATAAAGCCTCGGAACTAGACGGAACCTAAGGCTATGGTTTGTTAGAACAGAGAGCGACGCATAGTTCACAGTCAGTCGAACGCCGCGCACGTTCGTCAAAATCAAAGAAATGGTTCTCTATGGATAACGGTTTGTTAGGTTCTGCTTAACTACGGTTTGTTAGAACAATGAAAAATAAGTTAAGAAATTAGTTTCACGTTTGTTCTCTTAAAGGTTGTATATTTAGAATAATGAACTCTCGCAAACTTAACGCAATAATTTTAATACTCCAAGACGAGGAGGAAGAAGAAGAGTTAATAATGTCAAATCTAAATAAAAGAAATAAAAATGTCGACGAAATTTTTTCATGTCGTAATACAGAAAGTGCTTTTAAATTAACAGTCGAAAGAAGATTGTTTTAAAACGCGGAAAAAATTCGAGAATATTTTAGACTTTCCAGACATCACTTAATTACTACAATCATAATAACTATACAAAAATACAATTATAATTTCGGTATAGATATGTACGCTGTGAGTTCAGCTGAACGTTTGCGACCAAATCAAATCACAATTGTTTCCAGCGTACACCGTCGACGTATACTGCCATCGCTCTGCAGTGGGCTCAACTAAGATGACGAACCACGCAAAGAAAAGGAAAACGAGAAGGAAAAGCAACATGGGCCATTACTTCTTTCAACAACACTTACTTTTACTTTTTCGTGTCTGGATCCGACTACAGTTTTTCTGCCCAATATCGGGCTACGTCTACACCCTTTGTATTTGCGAGCCATAAATCATCGAGAGTGCACTGTGATGGACAAAGTCTGCATACTATCAGGTGCTGCACGTTCTGTATTTTCCCACATTCACAAAGTGCATCGCTATCTGTCTTGATGCCCCATTTAATGAGGTTCTGTTTTACAGGGGCAACACCTGAGCGTATACGGTTGAGTGTCCGCCAGGTTCTCCAGTCCAGGTTCGGTTCGTCAAACTCGTATAATTGGTGCCTTTCATCGAAAGTTTGCCTGAATTTCTCCACATATTGTGAAGCGCATCTACGGTCGTCTGGTGATGCGAATCCAGCTACCCGGTACAGTAGGGATAGAGGGGTAGGCTTCATACAACCGGTAATTATTCTACATGTTTCATTTAACGCCGTGGTGACTTGTTGGGCGTGTCTAGATCTACCCCAGACAGCTGGGTTCTGTTATCAGCTGTTGATTTCAAGACCTGGGGGCTTGCACCCCACTTGCTCCCTACAAGTTTTCAGAAAAGGTTGTTTTTGTGTTGATCGTAGAAACCTTTTGTCTTGTGCTCTGACAGTGGAATTTGTACATTAGAGACCGGTCTAGTACCACTCCAAGATATTTGGGCCTATCAGTATGTTTCAAGCATTGTCTCTCCCAATAAACCTTCAGTTTTATATGCGCCAGTTGGTTGTTGAGATGGAATGCACATACTTGGGTTTTAGTAGGGTTTGGCTTTATTGAGTTTTGTTTGTAGTAAGTTGACATCATGTTTAAAGCCTCTTCTATTGTGGACTCTACTTGTGTGAGTGTTTTCACCTTTACGGCTATACCAAGGTCGTCAGCGTAAACAAAACTCTCAGTCTGAGAGTGTGTTGGTTGGTCGTTGGTGTAGATGTTAAATAAGGACTGCGCCAGAACGCTTCCTTGTGGTAGGTGTGGTAGGCCATTTTTTGGATTATCTCAAGGAAGCGTTCTGCGCCGTCCTTGGTCTTTCAACAACAAAGACCAAAAGATAATAGATGAACTGATAAATAAAAACATAGAGATTTGTGCAATACAAGAAACCAAGGCGAAAAGTAAAGGCCAAAGAGACTATAACCAATATTATCTAGTATACAGTGGAGTGAAGAAAGAAGAACGAGCAGGCGTAGGTATTCTTCTCTTCTTATAGTGCCGTGCACCTATAGTGCGTTGGCGAATTATCGTAAGGCCAGACGTCTGTCTTTTGCGGCATACAAAAGATCGCCAGTGATATTTATATATACTAGCGGTACACCAGAATAAAGGTACCAGCGTAGGTACACTTGTACATCAAAATTTTAAAGACAACATAAATAACTGCCGTTATATCTCCGAATGAATAATACATATGAAAATAAAAATGGACTACGAAAAATTAAATGTCATATCTATCGATAGCCCTGAGGACTACAAACTCTACGAACAATTGCAAACCATCCTGGATGAAATACCTCATGAAGAACCCTTAATTATGGGTGACTTTATTACACGAATCGGAAATGAAATAGTTCCGGGAGTAAAACAAAGATTTACTGAAAATCATGTCAAGCCATAACGAAAATTATGTCAACATAACCAATGTGTTTTGCCTGTACAAACTTATGGAGTAGAGACTTTAACACTCACGCAAAAATCTGCGAATAAACTCAGAGTTACACAACGAGCCATGGAACGTGCAATGCTGAACGTGAGCCTTCGAGACCACATAACAAACCAACAAATCAGGCAAAGATTAGGAGTTCGTTTAAGAGGAACTGGACAGGCACTTAGCCATAACACAACTTGGACGGTGGAGAAGACGTGTAGAGAACACCGGAAAGAATTGAGGGAGGCATATGTCCAGCAGTGGACGAGATTGCTGATTGATGATGATGATAATGTCAACGCAAATGGAGAACTCATGGTTAATCTCTATGCATTTACTGCATTTAACGAACTGAGAATCAATAACATTTTTCGACCATAAGCTCATATACATTAAAAAACTCTAGGGGACACAAATCTACGATTGATTTTATAATCACTAATAGAAAAATCAACCCAAAGCAGATTCTAGATATCCGAACCTTAAACTCAACAGACGCAGGGAGTAAACACAAACTACTACAAAGATAAGAATGAAAATAACACCAAAACATTGTCTACAGGAAATCACCGAGGAAAAGTTCAATATAGAATCACTGTGGAACGACTCTACAAGAGAAATGTACCAAAGGAGGCTAGCACAGAAGATACAGCTGAAACAAATAAATAGACGACATCGAAGATATAAACGGGAGCTGGGAGAGAATTAAAAAAAAACATTGAAGAAGCAGCAACAGAAGCTCTAGGAAAACGCAAAGTCATACTGAACAAAAGAAACAACAACAATACACCATGGTTCAGAAAAGAAATAAAAAAAAAATGTAAAGAGCAACGAGACACCTACACGAAGTCCAAAATATTAAATACTCCAGAATACCGAGACACCTATAGAAGAATATGAAATGAAACAAAGCAGTTGGTAAGAAGAACAAAAAATGAACACTGGGAAAAGTTTACAAAAAGGATGGAAAGCGACTTCTACGATACACAAAAACAAATATGGAGATTCATAAGAAATCAACAAAAAGAAATGGAAGAATTGAAGGAATACAATCACATACCAGCAAACGAATGGGAAAGATACCTGACGGAACTGTTTAATGGAAAGGAAAAAGGAGATAAAGAAGACCCCAACAATTATAGAGGTATACACCTACTGAACACCGCACTTATGCTTACCACAAAAGTTTTAACTAACAAAATCAATAAAATAACAACTTTATCAGATGAACAACAAGGATTCAGATCCGGAAGATCCTGCGTAGACGCCGTATTTGTACTAAGACAAATCACAGAAAAGACCATCGAGTACAATAAACCAGTATACCTATGTTTTATGGACCTGGCAAAGGCTTTCGATCGCATCCAAGTCGAAGAAGTCTTACACCTACTGTATAAAAGAAATATACCAATCAATATTATACAAACCATCGAAAACATCTACTTCAATAATCCATACCAGTGTATACCAGTACAAAGCGGAGTCAGACAGGGTCTACTTCTCTTTAATATAATAATGGACAAAATAATACAAGCAGTATGTAAAGGCCATTGTTACAGAATGGGACAGATTAACACACATCTTCAATACAACAGTCAAGAAATACAATATGATATCAGCAGAAAAAACCAAATGTATGACAACATCTAAATACTCGCTACGATGTAAAATCGAAATTGATGGAAAAATAATAAAGCAGGAAGCAAGGTTTAGATATCTGGGAATAGACATAACCAGTTACGGAAATGTTGAAGAACAAGTACTGGTGTTGTGTTGAAACTTGGTTATGGACTGTAACTGCCTGTGTTTCTCTTCTCCTCTGGTCACTACCGGCATCCCCTCTCGAGGGGTGTAAAATGAACTTAACTAAAGGTGTAGTATACGAGGTTGCTCGAAAGTTTTAATATTTAAGTCTAAAGTTTTAACAAGTACGACAACAAAGCTTAAAAGTAAGTAAATCGGCGGAATCTCTTAATGACACAATCTGGAAGAACAAACACCTAAGACAAGATACAAAAACCAGAATCTATAAAGCAGCAATTAGACCTATATTAACATACACAGCGGAGACAAGACCTGACACATCTAAAACGAGACGACTACTAGAAACAACAGAGATGAAAATACTTCGACGAATATTAGGAAAAAGTCTGTTGGACAGGGAGAGAAGCGAAAAGATAAGAAGAGCATGCAATATAGAAGACATAAATGGATGGGCGACAAAACGGAAACAGGAGTAGAATGAATACATTAGTAGAATGGCAGAGGATAGGATAGTACGAATAGCACGAGATAAGTCATCAAATGGACGAAGAAGTATTGGCAGACCAAGAAAAAAATGGTGCGATAATTTAAAAAATTGAGGAGGCTAATATTGAAGAACAAACAGGCTTTAAAGCCTACATACAAGAAGGAAGAAGAAGAAGAAATTACACCGGTCTGCAATCTAATCGTCCTTCCACAAATTTTATGATATCAATGCTCTAAATCTATCGCCGTTGACCGATTTTTCTATCAAAATAGATTTTCTATTAATCATTTTTTTTTTCAAAATATTTAAAATTGGTGATTTTTTGAATTTGTTTTTTGCATCTACACTATAAATGGTGGTGAGTACAATATGGGTTTTAGTGAGTAGTAAAATAAAGATAGATGGAAGATTTGTACCAACACGCCACTCTTGTAGAGTCACGAAACGTTTTCTTTATTTAAATCTGTTGTGTTAATTTTTGTATGTACATTTTTTTCAATTTAGATAAGATGTGTAACCTGCCTTTAGTCGTATTATTTTTATTACAGTTTTAGTCATTTTGTATGAATAATACCTGTTAAGAGTCTCCTCAGAAGAGTAAAAACAAAGTCATTAATTAATTTTCAAAACCATACTTTACAATGAATAAACAAACTGATCAAGATGATGGAGGTAGATTTCTATTGAGTTTTTTAGATCATAACCCATATATTTGCTTGTATGCCATGAAAACACTTTTATGTTTGATTCCATCCATCCAATGGCACTACAGCCCAAATCGGGCCTTGACCTCCTTTGACAAGCTTCTCCAATCATTTCGATTTACCGCTGTTCTTTTCCATGAACGCGTTCCCAGGCAGTTCCTGGTATCCTCATCGACTTCGTCTTCCCATGGTTTAAATCTTTAGTTACTGTAGATGTTATTGGACAACCTGTAGGTTTCCAAAAATTGGAAAATCACATTCATAAATGTATACGCAGTTTTTAAAATGCAATAAAAAAGAAGTATAAAAACATCCATTGTAATATTAGCCATTTTCTAATTCTTATAACCAACATACGTTTGGCTCAAATGTTTTGGTTTATTTCCTGTAATACAAATGATGACAATGTGCATAGGATCCAGCGGATCTACTGTACTAATTTTGACAATATGCAAAGGATCCAGCGGATCTACTGTACTAATTTTGACAATATGCAAAGGATCCAGCGGATCTACTGTACTAATTTTGACATTGCAAATGTTACATACAGTAGTAAAATTGTTGCGCTACTTTTACTGAGTTAAACTCACCACCTTTCGATTCAGACATAAGTATCTTCTACATTCTACTGTCAAGGTAAAACAAAAAACTATTGATAAATTGAATTACCTTCGTGCGGATCCTCGTCTTCATCTTCTTCCTCTTCGGCGTCCACAACAACGGAGTCCTCCTCCTCTTTTTTAATTAGAAGGCTTTTATCGTTGATCACAGATCCAGATTCTATCACCCTCTCGTTCTTCTCGAATTTGAACTTGTTGCGTTGAGAACTTTTATTTCTGTTGGCATTGGTATTCAGCTGTTGGTCAATAATAGAGACGCGTTCGGTGAGCTTAGCTGCTTTCTCAGTCAGATCTTCTTTAGGTTTCACCAAGGAATTTAACACGGAACTCGAATTCCTGCTCTGCAAACTGGCGACCAACTCCTGGGTTGTTTTCACTTTGGAATTTCCCCTCGAAACGGCTAATTTGCTAGTAAAGGAACTTTCGGCCTCATCCAGTAGAGACCTGTGGTTCTTCGATCCTTTTTTCCTGCCTCTCTTCTTGGGCAACTGTTGATCTAACGGCGGATCGTGTTTTTCTGGCATACTAGAATTCGAATCTGAATTAATAATAATCACATCACGTTTTGGTTCCGTTTTTACAGTAGCTATCACATCTTTAAAACTCGAATTGGAGTTATCAGAAAAGTCTAACTCTGATATGCCTCCATTTAACTTAATCCTCTTACTGTTTATATTGTCTAGTGCTTCCTTTGCTGGTCGCTTCTTCGCTTTTATCTGGTTTAAATTTACATCTTCCTGGCTTACGGGTAAGGCGGATGACAGGATTACGGCTTGTGGCAAAGGCGGACTTTGTTTTAACTGACCATTGGATTCAGGTAAAACGGCATTTCTCCATTTTTTAACTAATTCTTTTGCTCTCTTTGATAAGGCTTCATTTGTAGTCTTCTTTCTTAATTCGTTTATGTATTTGCCCAATCTGGTGGTCTAAAAAAACAAAACAAAATTATTTTCACACACTTTAATACAATTAGTATAGTTTAAAGTACACAGTAATCAAAATTGGTTTTAAAATATTCGAGGAATACAAAGACAGAATCAAATTAAAATTATTATATAACAATAAAACACTCAAAACGTTTGTTTTCAAAACTTTTACAAAATTTATTATAATTTTATATACATTTTTAAAGCTGTTTCAGCATACAAACTATGTACAAACTTAAACGTGGCGACTGCCCAAAAACTTACATCGGTCAAACTGGCAGAACTTTTAATAAATGTATAGCAGAACATAAAAATTTAGTAGAAGCCCTAGGCATCCCATTGAACAGTGTAATCACTATTTTGACTGAAGTATTGGGTTTCGTAAAGCTGTGTTCACAGTGGGTACCGCATTTGTTAACAATGGAACAAAACACATTCTAATGCGACTTTCTCAGCAACATTTATAGCGTTTTCGAAATCATCATCATCAATTAGCCTATGTTTGTCCACTGCTGAACGTAGGCCTCCCGTAAAATTTTCCACCTACTTCTGTCTTGAGCTTCTTGCATCCAGTTTGTGGTGATGCGCTTGATATCATCCGTCCATCTAGTCGTTTTCGAAAGGTGAAATGAATTTTGTGCGTCGATTCATCACTAAATGGTCTTGCGGTATATCACCATGATCCTGAGTCAAAACAAGAGGCTAAAAAGTGGTTTGAAACGGGTTGTTCGGCTCCAAAACGAGTTCGAGTCCAGAAATCGGCCAAGAAGATGTTAGTATCAGATTTTTCAGATTTTTGAAATACGAAGGGAATTTTGTTTATGGATTACTTGCAAACTGGTTAAGACAATAAATTCTGATTATTTTTGTAATCTTCTAGACCAGCTGAAGGAAAAAATTCGTGAAAAAGACTCCGTTTGCAAAAGAAAAAAAAAATATCAGGACAATGCACCGTGGTATATGAGCATTTTGACAATGGCTAAAATACAGGAATTAAAGTACGACTTGTTGGAGCATCCACCGTATTCACCAGATTTGGCCCCTAGCGACTTCTGTTTCAATACCTAAAAAAATCATGTGTTGAAAGCGTCTTCATCAAATAATGAAGTCACAACAGCTGTGGAAGCATATTAAATGACTTTTTATGAATTTCGACATTTGGTACGCCTGCGAAATTGGGTCCCCCAATGGTTTCAAATGCCTTGACAAAAATTCAAAAAAGTGAGCAAAGTGACCAGGAAAATAAGGTTTTTCTCGTGACACTGGGCCGGCCAGGCAAACGGCCGTTGTTTTGAATAGTATGTACAATAAAAAATTATAAATTTTCACTGTTTTCATCTATCAGCATAAAGTTAAGCATTGGAAACAAATTTAAGAGTAATAATTTTATAAGTCACCTTCACAACGGAGTTTTTTTTTAAGTTTCTCTCCTTATTTCTTGCTTGGTAAGTTGCAAAATAGGTAAGAAAATTGTGGTTTTAATGGATAAAACTTTTTTAAAAATTCACATAGAACCTTGATATTACAAGGAATATTGGTTGTTGTGCTTAAACTACGATCAACATTTTAAAGCAATCGGTCAAATAGTTTCTAAATTAAATTTTTTTGCAACAATTTAAGTCATAAAATGAAGTTAATTCTTGGAGAGAATTAGGCCTATCGTCTTCAATTCCATATAGTTTGGACTTGATATATCCCCACATAAAAAAAATCACAAGGTGCAAGATCAGGTGATCTTGTAGGCCAAAAAATATCTCCGTGGCCACTAATCAATCGATTAGGAAAAGTCGCACTGAGATACAAATACAAATGAACAATTAAAAATGCCGAAAAAACCCGATTTTAACGTTTTTCGAGGCCTTTTTCAATAGGTTGGATATCGAATTTAAAAATAAAAAAAATATGAGGTGAAAGCTTAGTCCATTAGTTTCAAAATGCGTGAGTCCATTTTGATTTGATATGGCATAAGTCAGTTTAAAATATTCATAAACAAGTTAATATACCATTGCTCTTCGGAATATATAGACTTGACGCGAACATATAAACTTAAACGTTGAAACACATTGTTTATTCCTTACCTACAAGATGAATCTTATTTTAATCGAAAGAATATGAAGCTACAACAATACAGTAACAAGTTTAACACGGGAAGCTGTTTATTTATTAAACAAATTTTGAACAAATAAAAAAATTTCTTTTTTATTTGAAACCAATTTCTTTTTGTTTATAAGCAGGCAGGGTTGGACAAAAAAGTGTTTAAAAAAAAACAAAAAACATGTTTTTTTTGTTTAAAAACAATGTTTTTTGTTTTAAAACAGTTTTTTTGTCATCTAAAAAAACACTGTTTTAAAACAAAAAAACACTGTTTTAAAACAAAAAAAAAAAACGTTTTAAAATAATTACGTACTTCACTGGATTTCTAAAGAGGATTCCCATAAACCTCAACTGGCACACATATGGGATTCCCGCGAAAACGCGACCTGCGCGCACATGCAACGAGTGTTGTAACTGTTTCGTTTCCTTATACCAGGTGATATTATGTAAATCAAATTCGCTTTTCAGTTTTTCAGGATATGTTGGAAGCTTTAAGTTCTGCTTTATTATAATATAATTTCATATTGATATCTTCAGTTCTATTTTAATTTCTAGTGGATAGTTGCAGTGTATACAGTGTAAATTATATTAAGTTTATTATGTCAAGTCAAGGAAGGCGGAGAGATCCAATTTGGATAAATTTTAATTTAATTAAAGTGAATATCAATTTTGAGGATGGGAGAGAAAGTAAAAAAACAGTGTCTAAAGCTGAGTGTAAAAAATTCAAGAAGCAATTGTCCATCTTAGTTGCAAGAATGAAAAAGCATCATGAAAAATATGTTTTAACTTTAACGAATGTTGATTTTGAGGAGCCAGAGGAAGCTCAAATTAGTGAAGTTTCCGATGATCCTGACAACTCCGATTCAGACAAAGGTAAGTTTTGGGCGATAATGATTGTTTTTATGTACTGCATTTTTCGTCACTAAATAGGTAGTTACTTGATTTGTATAACATACATACTGACGTATGACTGAAATTGGGTTAAGGGAAGCTATATATTCATTTTTTAATTGGAGAAATTAATTAAATGTAGAAACAATTTGAATTTGGTTTAAGATTTTACATTACTAAATTTACGAAAAAGTAGAAAATTTTAATTAAATAAACAAAAAATCAGTAGTATCAAACAATTATGGCTTTCCCAGATTTTTTCAAAGAAATATAATTTTAATATGAGTAATACTCGGTAATCTTTTTAGGTGGCCGTAAGTCGACATGTATATTATTATGGTCTGTGATATATGAGTTTAATGCTCTGCATTGCCAGATTTACAAGAAGTATTAAAAATTGATGAATATTATAAAAATGTCAGTAACGAATGAAATTGAAGGGAATTTTGAATGTCAAGTACATGCATATTATAGTATTCAAATTCCAATAAAGTAAAGTAATTCGAAATATTGCAAAAAATCAATTCTTTTCGTTGAAATAAAATTTTATAATAAATTTTTGAACTCAATAAAAATATTACAAGTATTAAGTATTAAAAAATTTAAATATAAAGTTAAATATAGTTGTTATTACGCTTAGTTAAAAATTCCGGTTTTATATTAATCTTTATTTGTTTATTAAAAACTTTTAATTTTACTACACATAAAGCAGGTTCCCGTGGTAAACTTTTTAGTGTAATATTGCAGCATCATATTCTTTTGATTCAAACAAGATTCAGCTTGTGGGTTGTTTATTCCATGCTCTAAACAAGTGATGTATTAAGTTTGGATAAAATATTTTTAAATTTTGTCCTGCTTTCACCATATATGGTGTGGCATCAGATAAAAGGGTAAAAACAATCAATATATTTCGAACATTAAAGTTTAGAAGTCTATGTATCCCGAAACGCAACGTATATCAATTTGCTTATGGATATTCAAATGACTGACTTTTGCAATATAAAAACAAAATAGAACTGCATATTTTTAAACTACTTGACTTAAGCTTTTATCTCATGTTTTTTGTTTTTAATTTGATGCCCAAACTATTGCAAAATGCCTCAAAAAACGCTAAAATTGAATTTTTCGGCTATTTTGGTTATTTGCATTTTACGCTTAAAGTAAACGTTTTACATAAAAATCACAAGAATAACTTACGTCTTAAAATAACCCAAATTATTTTAAAAAATGGTAGATTCGAAGCGAAAAAAATAATTTTTTATAATTTGTTTAAAAACTGTTATATAACATAAATAGGTTGCCATAGAAAATTTTCGGGTCAGCTTTTAAGGTAGCATATTGGCATCACTAGATGAATATATCGATTAAAACAAGTTTCAGTATGTAGGTATGAAATCAACCTTTTTGGACAAAAGCCACCCGCCTAGCATGTTTAGCAAGAAATAAAAACTAGTTTATTTGTTATTTTCTATTTGCAAAGCAATCCATAAACCAATACTACTTTTTAAAAATAATTGAAAAGGATAATCTGTTTTTTTCCATAAAATCTATTATAAATAAATTATTTACGAAGTTATCGAAAAAATTATATTAATCATAAATATTTATATTTTACAATAAAAATTACCCCAGATATTACAAAAAAAATGGTAAAAAACTGAAAAAATTGTTTAAACAAATTATATGGTTTATTTAACAATTGATTTACTTAAAAATGCATATTCGTAATTTACGCGAAAAGGACATACAAATTTAAAAAAGAAATGTTGAAAGTCCATAAACAAGAACCAGAGATATATAGTTAATAGCTCCTTCCTACTCCATACCGCTCTTGCGAGTTTCAAAGTCGGTTGATCATGAGGATCACATTTTGAAGCTTTGTGGACGATTCCCTTGAAAGGTAATCTCTTTCAAATTTGTTCTGAGTGTGTTCTTTCAAATACCGCTAATTGAATATCTTAACTGTTATAAACAAAGCTGCACTCAATTCAAAAAAGGCAATAACTTAACTTCGT